GATATTTCGATCTCATTTTCTCCTTCGCCTTTATCTCCCACCCTCACTACGCTCTGTTCTTTGATTGTCGGACTTTTGTGTCTAAGTCAATATTGCATTCCTTGTATCTTGTTGTGACATTGTGAGCTTAATAATACTTAGCTAACTAAACAGTTCATTCTTTTATTTTATTGAGCTCATGAATCAGGAGTTTCTCTTACTTGCCTTTATATCTGGCACGTGCTTAAATCGCTGGATTATTCATCTGTCATTATTTTTCATTCGGTTTTGACTTTAAAGTGAAATATTTGGTTCAGAAAGATCATAATCTCATTATCTTTAAGTCTAATCTGCTGTATACCATGGGATGAGAAAAATCACCTTCCACCTTATAGTCAATAAAGGGCAGATCGACAAAAATCAAAATTTATAAGCAATAAAATTCCTCCTCTATTGAATTTGCAACGGTATCACTGGTTACCTAAACCTCCATAACAGGTACAAATGTCTATGTACCTAATCGTGTAACGGGACGTCATCAACTGATTCAACTGAACTCTCACGTTATTAATTTACCTATGACTTTTGCCTTAATTAGACAAGCAGGTGCATAGGTTTTGGGGCGTAAACTTGAGGAGAAGTGATTAGACTCACTCTTATCGAAGAGCATCTATTGACTTTCATCGATCACTCTTTTTGCACTAGAGAGGAAACATTATCGACTAAACTGTTAATTAATTAGTCATCGAATTTGCGTCCTCTGACATGTGCAAAACATCTGCTGCGTTTCCTGTTCTCTTCCTATTGGAATATTCATTCAACATGTCTTTTTAATTTATCGATTTTTTCTTTTCATCGCCACATTTCAAGCACGTGTATTGTCAACATTGCCTAAATGTCATCGAAAAGTAAAAGCAGTGGCAGCAAAAAAAAGAGTAAGGGGTCGAGCAAGTCTACCCCCAAAAATAAGGAAATTGCGTTTGCTGAAATTCCCCCTATTATCTTGAAAGACGTTAGATGTAAACTTGTCTCCACTTCCTCGGACCTTCCGAACTATACATTTCAGAATTTCCGATGTGCTCGATGCAGTCTGGTTCTTAACACTTTCCAGTCTTTTATCGATCATAGCTGTTGGCGGAAGTATTACACCGCAAAGTATCATTTGGGTTGTACACAAGCTTTTGCTTGTCGCGTGTGTGAGGTTATTTTCTATTCTCATACTGATTATGCAAGTCACCGATGTTTTGATGATAAGCGCTGTGATATTTCTGAATGGTGGACACCCGAAGAAGTTATTCCGATTAGTTATCGCCAACACCATGACTACTACATTAATTGGGCTAGAAAGTCGGAGCGAGAAATGCAGCCCCATGAGCCAGATTGTAACTATATCTGTCGCTGCTGTAAATGCAGTAGAAGATTCAAGTCAAAGATTGAGTTTATCCTCCACAGTTGCTGCCTATTCATCGTACTTTCGCCTACACAACTTCGGCGTCTGAAAACATGCATGTGCTGTAAGTTTGTATTCCTAAATGAAGAGGAGTACGGGAAACATGTTATTTATTGCAACCCAAAGAGGGCATTTTGTATTGATTTCGGTTTGACAACAGCTGAAATTGCCTGTCAACAATTTGTCACTGGGAGACATTGCTTTGATTTTGATTTCCATCTACATAATATAGTTGGTTTCAATCCTCATGAAAATATTATGAATTTAAAGGATGCCACTTCATTAAGTAATGTCAATTGCCCTGAATGTGGTTTTGGGCAGACAGATTTGATGGAATTTCTTTATCATCCATGTGTAGCGGGGAAAAAACTGTCTCCATTTAACTTGGAGTTAATTCTCTACTGTTGCGAATGCTCCTATCTTTTTGTGGATATCTTCGAATGTATTGAACACTTGAAATCCTGTTCCCCAGTTAGCTTTGCGTTTGTCCGATTCAACACACCCGATTTATTGAGAGTAGCTTTAAGACGTTGGTCTAAAGAGATAGACGAACATCCATTCCTTCCAGCACGTCAAGAAAAGTTTAGATGTGGAGATTGTGAGGAAATCTACAGGCGATTTGATTGTTTCTTAACTCATCTTTGTCCTAGAAGGGAAAGATATGAAAAACTCTTCGTTCAGCCCCTTGGAATCATGGAAACTTATACATGTGAGGCCTGTCATTTGGTTGTATTCTCAATCTCTGAAGCTATTGAACATTCTAAGAACTGCAATGGCGAACGCTATCCCCGTATGGTGCAAATTCACTACGCTATGGAAGAGGTAATCGCAGCTCTAACCCCATGGACGAAATGTCCCCAGTCGTTGAAATTTGATATTGTAATTGGAGCCAGTAATGAGGCAGACGAGAGAAAAATAGTGGAGAATAAAACGTTGGCGAAAGATCGTCATGAAGTCGAGAGGGGAATTGCTCAGCGAATTGAAATGTGGATAAGTAGAACTATTTGTAAACGAGCAGAAGAAAGGCTGATGGTCAATAGTGAGCATGTTAAAGAGGTTGACCAGCGTACCTGCCCAAATAAATTATAAATTTAATTGACGATAGTAAAGAATCAGAGAAAACATCTAATCTTTTTAATCACGAAAATGTCCCATAGTAGTAATTTATTAATAAGATTATAGGCACAGTAAATGAAACAATAGTCTTCGTTTTCTGCTTATGGTATTGATGGGTCATTTATGGTGCTATTACTTCAATGCAATTTCGCTTAAATAATTGTTAAAATATATGAAATTTTTAATGTTTCATTAAGTCATGCATAATAATAATGTCATGTACTCTGGCTACCTAAGCATGAGTAAGTTGGCCCCGATGTAGGACTGTCGTCGACATCTTACCACCTAGTATATGCGTATTTATTTTGACACAGGACTCCATGTCTGCATCGTGAAACCTACCTAACCAGCATCCATACCTGACAATGTGTTCGTCTAAAACTTGTCCCTTTCGTTCCTTAAAAACTTGGTTGATAAAAAAAACTGAAGAAACAATGGAACTTTAAAATCAATCATGATCTAGCAATTGGCAGCGGCTGTTCATAAACACCTGATGATTAGACCTGCATGCGTGTTCGCTCATACAAACCTAAACAGTTTTCAGTCATGACGTTGAGATATTCACGATCAGATATGACTGATTCGGATTATTCATGCTTTGTGGATTTAGCCAGCATCATTGCAAATCGCTAAGATCAACTATAGCAAATGTTTTCGGATTACTTCAGCTTATGTATACAAATAATATAAATACGTGACCCGGCGCAAGTTGATTCCTTTCAATTTCTTATTAATCAAAGAGGATCTAGTTAGATGGGGAATTAGCCAACAAATCATTATTATTATTATATCAAATGGCAAGCGTTTTGATTGTTATCATTAGCCCTTTAGTTGACTTCAGTCTTCACAGAGGGGGAGGAACATCAAAGTGTAAAAAATTCAAGAGGGGGAGGGACAGAAGAATGTATCAAAGACGAAGGTAGATAAGGTGGAAAAAAGGTGGGATGAGTACTGTGAAAGTAGTCGAATATGACATACAGTGGGGTCATGGTAGTTTGAAGTCAACAGCCAGGTAATAGACTTTTTTTGCCGTATGAGTATACGCTGCTCAGGGTGCACCACGTGAAGGTAAGTCTATCGCACACCCCGCCAACAAATCATAAAGACAACCGAAAGGACTTTCATTTTGGAATCAGTGGAGGAAAACTTGTTGTTCTGATGTTTAATAGTTACAAATATCCAACGGCTTTACTGAACACGCAATTTAAATATTAACAAACATTTGATTGCTAAATAATTTGGCATCGATTTTAAGACAATTTAAAAAAATAATGCTTCGTAAATTTAGATGAGTAACATCTGTAGCGGACTGCTACGCTAGTAAAGCCTGACTAACTCAGAAATCTCTAT